AAAGGTTGTTGCCACCAATGCAACATTATCTTGTTCTTCTTCAGAATCTTATTCTTTTGAATCAGAGTCGTCCCAGGTAGCCATGATTCTTTTCTTTCCTTTTACAAAATTCTTTTTATGCTTTCTGTCTTTCTTAAGCGTGGGACATTCATTCTTGTAATGACCTGGCTTTTTGCATTCATAACAAATAACTTCTTTTCCAAAACTCGACTTCCTTTGTCCAGATGTTGAGTCAGAACGAACGACAGTCCTTCTAGCTCCTTTGAACTTTCCTTGCCCATTTTGTCTGTTCTTCCAGAGTCTGTTGACCCTTCTAGAAATTAATGAAAGTTTATCATCTTTTGAGTCTTCATCAGAATCTTCTGAGATTTCCTCAGCTTGATAAGCCCTTGAATTTTCAGAGTTAGATTTCAAAACAACTGACTTTCCTTTCCTTTGAGGTTCATCTCCCCCAAGCTCTACCGAATGAATTCTTAAAGAACTAACAAGTTCTTCAAGACTGATACTGTTCAGATCTTTAGATAGTTTCAAGGCAGTTACCATAAGTCTCCACTTCTTAGGAAGGCTTCTGATGATGTTTTTGACATGGTCAGCAGTTGAGTATCCTTTGTCCAGAACCTTGAGTCTCGCGACTAGCATTTGAAACCTTGAAAACATAGTTTCAACTGTTTCATCATCCTCCATTTTGAATGCGTCATATTTCTGGATTAGGGCAAGCGCCTTTGTCTCATTAACTTGAGTGTTTCCTTCATGATTCATTCTTAGAGAATCAAAAATGGACTTGGCAGTATCTCTGTTTGTTATTTTCTCATACTCAATATAGGAGATACCATTTAGCAGTATAATTCTTGCCTTGTGATGATTCTTATAATACTTTTTTTGTTGATCAGTCATAGCACTTCTAGACACTTTTTCTCTTGCAGCATTAAAAGGATGACTGTATCCATCAACAACAAGATCCCAAAGATCTACATCATAGCCAAGAAATAAACATTCGATTCTATCTTTCCAATAGTCAAATTTGTCACCATCAAAGACTGATGGTTTGGCACTATAGTGATCTTTCTCTACTGGAATAGTGGCGACCGCCATTGTTTCTTACACAGACATAAGATCGGTACTAAACACGGTTAAGTTTTTGATAAACTTTTATCACAATTAGAACCGGAGCTCTGATGCCAATTGAAGGTGAGTAAAACACAAGAAAGGGGGTGTTTGAATTGGGGTTTTAAAAAACAAAAGCTTTTTACCCACTCAATAAAAATCACCGCTAATAAACAATAAAGAGAAATACACTTCGATTTTTATACTGGTTCACTTGAAAATCTCAAAGATAATCCAGTCCACCCATCAAGGTGATTTTGCCTTATACCCAAGTACTTAATCCACTATAATCAACTGATTACAACTGCATTAGCAACCGTTGGTGACTAAAAAACCACAAAGACACATAATCTATGTCTTCTCAAGGATTCTGACCTAATTGGCCCCTTAAGGAAATACAAATAACAGTTTGATTACAAAGTTGTGTTTACAAAGATTTCTTCTACACAAGCAGGTATAAACAAGTTAAAAGCACAACATACTTATAAAAAATTCTGCACAAATTTAGACAACAGTCTTGTAATTACTTGCATGCTTTTTAATTCTTCAAGTCTTCAAGTCTTTGTATAGCCAGTAAAAAAGATCTTTTGAAGGGTAGATATGGTATTCTTCATGAATAAGCTGGCGACTTGAGTAACGGTTTGATACGGAGTGGACAAGAATCATACTACCTCAATTTCCTTCCTCTATGAAATCTGCTTAGTGGAAGGAATATTGGTTTGTACCATGTACTGCTTTTCCCACGTATAAACTCGTTCTTATCTTCTATTCTTCAGTGGCTTATGGATAAATCATTGATTGAAGCATGAGTTAGAAGAGTTGATTTTGCTTGAGTTAGGGATTGTGCATGAGGTGGTGCCACCCTACACTCCATAGCAAAAAGAACATAACCATCGTGAACATGGTGAGAAGTATGTTGAATGGAAAGCATTTACCCAAAGAGTTATAAGGAGAAGCGGTTTCGATAGCAACATACATATTAAACAGATGTACGACGAAAAAGCTTGAAGGAATCACACCAGAAGAATGTTGGTCTGGTGTCAAGCCTAGCCTCGGTCACTTAAACGTGTTTGGATCTATAACACATAGACATGTGCCAGATTAGTTGAGAAGGAAGCTTGATGACAAGTCAAAATCAGATGATCATGATAGGATATCATTCGACTAGAGGTTACAAGTTGTTCGACCCAGTGAATAAGCAGGGATGTGATCATATATGAGCTTAAAGAATGGGATTGGAGTGAGAATGTCAAGAAGGATTCAGTAAGAATCTCTTGTGAAGAACCACCTATTAAAGTCGAAAGAGAAGTTCGACAAGAAGAATTCAGAGGTGAAGCAGGCCCAAGCAGACCTCAATGAACAAGACACATTCCTGCAAGGTTGCAAGAATGTATAATTACATCAGATGATGTGGTCGATGAATAAGGTGAGCTGGTACACTGTGCTTTCTATGTAGACTTTGAACCAGTCAATGCAACTGAGGCATTGAAGGATTCGAAGTGGGTGAAAGCTATGAATGAGGAGTTAGAGTCCATCAAAGTCAATAACATTTGGTCACTTTTTGAATTGCCTCAAGGCAAGAAGGCAATTGATGTGAAATGGGTTTACAAGGTGAAAGTGAATCCTAAAGGAGAGGTAACTTAACACAAGGCGAGACTTGTAGCAAAAAGATTTCTTCAAAAAGAAGGAATAGACTTCGACGAAGTGTTTGCACCTGTTTCTAGGATCTAAACAATCAGGTTGGTTGTTGGTCTAGCAAATATGAACAACTGACACATATTTCAGATGGACATGAAGTGTGCATTTCTTAATGGCCCCCCAGAAGAAGAAGTTTATGTTGCATAACCAGTTGGGTATGTGAAACAAGGCGAATAAAGAAAGGTGTATAGGCTGCATAAAGTCATGTATGAACTTACATAAGCTCTAAGAGTTTGGAATAAGAAAATCGACAACTTCTTAAGGAAGAAGAAATTTGTGAAGTGTATGATTGAGTATAAAGTGTATGTAAGAAGAAGCAGTATTGAATTGCTTATACTATGCCTATATGTCGATGACCTGTTGATAACAGAAAGCTGCAAGAAGGAGATCGAAGACTTCAAACATAACCTGAGTGAGGAGTTTGAAATATCAGACTTGGGAGACCTCTCATATTTCCTTGACATTGAATTCTACAAGACTAGTAGAGGTTTGATGATGCACCAAAGAAGATATGCAAGTGAAATACTCGAGAGATTTGAGATACAAGATTGCAACCCAACTTCGACTCCAGCTGAGACCAGATTGCAACTGTCGAAGAGTTCAGATGAATATGATGTCGATCCAACCAAATATAGAAGAATTATTGGGTCACTTAGATACCTTTGCCATACAAGGCCTGACTTAGCATACAGTGTGAGTATGGTAAGTAGATTCATACAGAAGCCAGAGATATCACACCTATCAGCAACGAAGAGGATACTGAGGTATACGAAACAAACTCTCGACTATGACATTTTATTTTCTACAACTGGTGAAGGAAAATAATGCAAGTTAGTTGAATACACTGACTCTACTTAGTGTAGTGATGCTGAGGATAGAAAATTCACAGTTGGTTATGTGTTTATGTTAGGTGGTGCATCAGTTGCTTGGAGTTCGAGAAAGGAGACAGTAACGGCATTGTCGTCATGGCTAGCAAAGTACATAAATGTTTCTCTTTGTGCATGTCAAGCAACATGGATGGTGAACCTGGTCGGAGAGATCACATCGAAGAGTCGTGGAGCAATTACCATGAAGATCGACAGAATGTCAGCTATCAACTTGGAAAAGAATCCAATAGCACACAATCAAAGCAAGTACATCGAAATGAGATTTCATTATCTTCGAGAGCAGGTAGCAGAAGGGAAGATGAACTTGGAACACTGCAGAACTGAGAATCAGATTGCAGGCATCATGGCGAAGGGAATGCAAGTCAGAGTGTTCAAGAAGCTAAGGTCTACGATGAATGTAGATAGTTTAGACACAATGAATTAGGTGGTGTGTTAAATATGTAATTCATTGTTTTAGAAAGATTAGATTTAATTTAGAAAGATCAGATTTAATTTAGTCTTTTATAGTTTGGGTTTTAACTTGATATACAAGTTAACCTAAATCTATAATAGGAAGAAACTCTTATCATTGTAATCATTAAGTTTGGTAATCACAATTTTGCAGTTGCAAAGTAATAATAAAATTGCGCAGTTGTGGGCAGAGAGTTACTCTGCAGTTCAAACTCATCTTTTTTAAATGTGTTCTTGGTTTTTGTTCATTACCATTACATAACAATCTTATATCAAGATTGAGAAGAACTTACCATAGATCGTTGCTGAATTTCAATATAATCAAAATCAAAAAGAAAAATAATTTAACTTTTAAAATAAAGGAATTAAATTTCATTTAAAAAAATAGAAGACTAATATATCTTTAAACATATATTTAAAGTTTTAGTTTTCGTAAGTAAGTATTACTAAAATATTTTTTACTTATAGTTACGTTCAATTTGATTTTTAATTTTATTAAAATAAATTAACAATATTAATAAAAATATATCTAAAATTAAGAAATATATTTGAAAATTTATAGAGACTCTTATATTAAACAACAACAACAACAAAAAATTGCAAAAGAATCTTATAGATAAAGCCAAAGATAATAACAAAGGTGCAATGATTTTTATATTCCTTAAATAAGTTAATATTGGATTCGTGTCTCACGAGGCAATAATTTTTTATATATAATAAATAATCTCTTGATTTTTCAAAATTAATTATAAAAAAAAAAAAAAACATAACACTTTGAAACCGCTACTATATCTTCAACTCTTTCATACTCTTCCTCCACATTCATATCTTCAACTCTTCCATATTCTTCCAACCAAATCCATGGGATCAATCCTTAACGAGAACAATGTCAACAACAACAACAACGTTGTTGAAAACAAACCTCTTCACATTGTTATGCTTCCATGGTTGGCAATGGGACACATATACCCTTACTTCGAAGTTGCCAAAATTCTTGCTTCAAAAGGTCACACTGTAACCTTCATCAACTCTCCCAAAAACATTGATCAAATCCCAAAACCTCCCAAAACCATTGAATCATTCATCAACTTAGTTAAACTACCTTTACCACACATAGAACAGCTTCCAGAAGGTGCAGAAAACACCATGGACATTCTACCAAACATGAACCGTTACCTCAAACTAGCTTACGAAGGACTAGAAAATGATGTTACTCAGATTCTCAAAACCTCCAAACCCGATTGGGTTTTCTACGATTTCGCTTCTGGTTGGTTAGCACCAATAGCGAAAACGTTCAACATTGCTTCTGCTCATTACAACATTACACCAGCTTGGAACAAGTGCTTCTTTGATCCACCTAAGGATCAAGTTAAAAAAGATTTCAAACTCGAAGATATGTGCGGTCCACCGAAATGGGTTCCTTTTCAGACAAGTATTCATCTTAAACCTTATGAGATTATTCGAGCTTTCACTGCTTTACAAGATGAATCAGGTGGAATGGCTGGTTTTGATCTTAATAAAGCTTATTCGAGTTGCGATCTTTTTCTTCTGAGAACTTCAAGGGAGCTTGAAGGTGAATGGTTGGATTATATATCTGAGCAGTATAAGGTTCCTGTTGTTCCTGTTGGATTGCTTCCGCCGTCTATGCAGATAAGAGACGATGAAGAGGAAGAGAGTAATCCTGATTGGGTGAAAATCAAAGAATGGTTGGATTCGAGAGAATTATCTTCGGTTGTTTATATCGGATTCGGGAGTGAGTTGAAGTTGAGTCAGAAAGATTTAACTGAGCTAGCTCATGGAATTGAGCTTTCTGGTTTACCTTTCTTTTGGGCTTTGAAGAATCTGAAACAAGGTACACTCGAGTTACCTGAAGGATTTGAGGATCGAACGAAGGAACGGGGGATCGTTTGGAAAACATGGGCGCCTCAGCTTAAGATTCTAGCTCATGGAGCTATTGGTGGATGTATGAGTCATTGTGGTTCTGGTTCTGTTATTGAGAAGATTCATTTTGGACATGTTCTTGTGACACTGCCTTATTTGCTTGATCAGTGTTTGTTTTCAAGGGCATTGTTGGAAAAGGAAGTGGCTATTGAGGTACCAAGGAGTGAGGAAGATGGTTCCTTTACTAGGGACTCTGTGGCTCATACATTGAAGTTAGCTATAGTGGATGAGGAAGGAAGTAGTTTAAGGAAGAATGCTAAAGAGATGGGAAAGATTTTCAGTTCTAAAGATCTTCATAATCAATATATTGATCATCTCATTGATGCTCTTTATAAGTATAGAGTTGCTTCTGATTCCAACAAGGAATGAAACTAGTCTCATTTCATATGTTTTCGTTTTTCGATGTTGTTTTTGGTTTTACAATAAAGGTTTTTCAGTTTTCTTCCGGTCAATTTAATATGTAATATGAATCTCGATCTTAATTTTAAAATCTTATGATTTTAGTGTCTTAATCTTGACAACATTGATCACTACATTATTTACGGTTGCACCATGAATTTTCACTTCATACCGATAAAAATGGTTTCACAGGAAAAATTTAGTATGAGCAGATTAGAGGTGGTGAGAGGTGTGACCAGAAAGAAATGAAGAGATGGAAAGAAATTAAATTTTGATTTCAAATTTGAAATTTGAATATAATGTTACAAAAATCAGAGAGTTTTGTTCCATTTACCTCAAATTTATTTTTGGTCTCCTATACAAATTCTTTTCAAGGAAACCAAATAAGAAAAATGGAAATAAAAACTAATTCAATGTAGTGGATTTGTTGTTTCAAATCCTCACACTCAATGGATACTTCAAGTTTCCAACATGAAGCATGTGTTCTCCCAATGGAACTTTTCTGTTTCCAAGTTCATCAACCACACTCAAATCATTGCAAACATCTACCTTGAACTTTACCATTCCTTCTGATTTTCCAGGCAATTCAACTTTCTCGAAACCTAACAAGTGTTTCTGAGGCGCATTGTGCACATCCGGAGGTGTAAAGAATAACAAAACTGTATGGCTACTACTCATTTTCGCCGTGTTTTTGACACTAAGGTGGATATCAAATGCCATGTTTTGACAATGCTCGTTGGCAATATCAAGTGACTTGCATTGTAAGGAACGGCATTCGTGATCCTCAGCGAGAGGAACTGACACCAACTGAGGTGCTTTTACTATTTTGTGTTCGACCGTGCCGAAGCTCATTCCATCTCCGAATGAGAAAACGGTTTCTCCTTTATAAAATCTGTAAGTTCTTCCAGGGTAACCGGTAGCAGGATCGGCCCTCATGTTCATGTTCGTCATTGGTACCTTTTCTACATATGATTGCGGATACCATGTCATCGGTAGCCTTCCACCTGCATCACAAAATCATTTTGATTTTAAATAATGTTCCTGATCACGATTTAGGTCGCGACATCAAGGTTTTTTATGTCTGCACGGCCACAATCGAGGTTGTTCAGCAACATTTGACTATGATTTCTCTATAATATTAGAGATAACAACACGACTGCAAGAACGGTTTAAAACATTGTGGGAAACTGTGAATGACTTACTTGGATTGAACGAACCGAAAATGACATCGGCTATGGCAGCTCCACCAGCTTCGCCAGGGTAGCCAACCCACAAAATGCTTGTGATTTTATCATTAGTTTTGGCAAAGGAAACATCCATGCCTCCTCCAGACATTATGACAAGAATCACGGGCCCCTTGGATACGTTCGCAACTTCACTAACTAGCTGTTGTTGCTGACCTGGAAGTAGAATGTTAACTCTGTCGAGACTTTCCGCCTCTATAGCTAGATTTGCACCTACAATAATAACGGTCACATCTGCAGAGGCTGCAATCTTCGCAGCATCGTCTATCTGGGCATTCGCGCATTGCACATCGGGACATCCAGGAGCGTAAGTTGTAGAAACTACGGCCGTTAGGCCTTGCAAGGGTGATGTATATTTGCAAGGGATTCCTGCAAAAATTTCAGTAATTTGTCAAATACAATGAAGCACTGATACGTACGCAGACACCAGACGCGATACTAACACCGACACGTAAACATTTGCAATAATTTAAGAAAATGAAAGTGATTGAATATAACCACATGTTTCATTAACGTGTCCTTGTCGAATTTAGAGATTTTGATATACCTTCATAGTTCCCAATCATGACCCTTGTAGCATTAGCATTAGGTCCTATAACTGCCAAAGATTTAATGGATTTGGAATTTAGAGGCAATGATCCTGGACTATTTTTAAGCAACACAATCCCTTGTCTTGCAGCTTCGCGAGCTAGCTCCTGGTTCTCTGGAGTGCACACATCCTTTGGACCAAGATTTCCATAAGCATGCTTGCTTGGATCACCATCAAAGAAACCAAGACGCATCAATGTCGCAAAATTGTTCGAGACAGCATTGTTAATGGACGCTTCATCAACAAGCCCTTGCTTTACCGCCCCTCCAGTATATTGGCTAAGATAACTTCCACAGTCCAAATCTAAACCTGTGAAATCAAAATTTGCAAAAACACGATATTTGATCACAAAGTTCGGCTAATTGTGCCTACGTCTCTGAGTGTCTGCAATACATTTCTCGTGTTAGTTACCTGACAGTATGGTTTTGGCTGCAGCTTCTTCGGGAGTTTTGGTATAGTGCTGATCTTTGAAAAGCACTTCCACCGAGTCACAATCAGAAACTATATATCTACATTCACCACAATAATATTAGTATTAATTAATGTAAAAACAACAACATGAATAGTGAAATCAAACTAAATGAGATTTATGAGAATTATAAATTTTAATATACCCATTTAATTTCCATTTTCCTCTGATAACTCCCTTAAGAAGATCAGGGTCTGCACAAGTTGGTTTTCCATTAACTTGATTGTAAGAACACATGACACTAGCTACATTCCCATCGATCACGCAACTCTTAAATGGAGGTTGGAATGTGTCATCCAAATCTTGTTGACTCACCTAACAAATTCAACAAGTAAAAAATGATTCTCTACATTTATAACCTTAACAATCACTAAGAAACACCGGAAGACACAGACACCAAACACAACACTTATACTTGACACCAATATTAGCCAACGTTCGTGTAAGTGTCTGAGACACACTTTTAACCTGAAGTGTCTATGTGCTATATAGTACGATAACATTGACTTACCACAGCGTTGAACGTATAACGCTGAACACCTTTCCAATTATCAACATCATAAGCTGTATAATGTTTGCAACAAGCAGCAACCTTAAGCTTGTCGGAGTCTCCATCATCGGTTTGTTGAAGACCTTTCACATATCCTGCGGCATATTTGCCACTTAACAAAGGATCTTCCCCTGGTGTTTCTTGTCCCCTTCCCCATCTCGGATCTCTGAATATGTTTATGTTTGGTGACCAATATGTCAAACCAGCCAACCCTACATTGTACATTGCTCTTGCTTCAGTTGAAACCACCTGAAAAATTAGCATAAATTAGCCCTAAACACCACTTTAAACTGTTTTATTTTTGGTAGTTACTAGTAATTGATAATTATCACAAAGTATATAGTAATTCTGCAGCAAAATAAATGATATCAGCTTTTAGATTATTTGAATCAATTAATTATCTACTTTTGCTAAGCTGGAAAGGAAAAATAGTACAAATTTGGCAAGTTGATTCTGAAAACTTACACATTTTTGTTCATTTATTGCTCTATTGCTCAATTTAACATTTGTACCTAAAAGGCTTTTGCTTTTATGCCAAAAGCAATAAAGAAAATAAACAAATTCAACCATGTAAGCTGTAACTACCATCATCTACTTTCTTTAATCACTAACTAATACCTTCAAAACCCGAGATCGTAAGTTTTTTAAATCAGATGTCATGCGTTCAACTACAGAAACTAATCTTAGAGTCTTGAAATCGAACTTTTGAAAAACGCTACTAGTACTTCTTTAAATGGATAATGTACTATTTCATAAAGAAACCAACAAAAATGTCATTTCTCATTCAAAACCAAACCAAAATCTGAAATTTTCAAAAAAGATCCACCTACTCCAATGAATAAAAATAACAACTTTTCATGTCTTTATTCAATAAAAGGTTGAAAAACATCACTCTTTCCCAGTTTTTGAGAAGCCTACTCCCAAGAAAGAAATAAAGAAAGAAACAAAAGAAGACTTCTAAACAGTACTATTTCATCTATCCCACAACAATAGACCTATTTGCAACAAAAAAAAAAAACATAGTCCTAAAATGAATCAAACTTCCAATTTTATATAGAATACTATACCACCAAAAACGGTCGCAACCAAACGGTATCTCGAAAGGTGCCGATACCAATACCGTTGCTCGTGATAAAGAACAAATTGTAGTTAATTCATACTGCGTCGACGACCACAATCAGTGTCGCAATACCTGTATCGATCAAAATCGCAAGCGATCGCGACCATTATTCGAAATCTTGGATTGTACTATCTGATTAATACTAATTGAATCATAATTAAGATAAAGAAGAAGAAGAAAAAAAACTCACACTTCCAATGGCTTGAAAGAGGGTAGTATTGAAAGAAGCTGCAGTAAGAATAGGCATAGGAAAACTAGTAGCACCTGGAACCAAACTTGAAAAACGTGTACCAGGACCAATGTTAGAAACTCCATGAAGAGCTTCAGACCACCATTCATACTTTGGTATCCCAAGTCTGCTAACTTCAACAGCAGAGTTTCCAAGGTTCCCTATTTTCTCTTGCAGTGTCAATCTCTTCACCAAGTCTGAAACCCTATCTTCCACCGACAATGACTTGTCGCAGAATCCATAGCTTGATAAATTCGCATTCTTGGCAACATCACAGGCAAAAACAGATGATGTTTGTCCATAAACATGGTTACAGTTCAACAGAACTGTCACATAGAAAATTCGAAAACAGAGAAAAACAGAGGAAACAGAGTGAACCTTCGGTTCTCTGTTTTCAGTGTTGGCCATAACTGTAAATGTAACCTCTAAAAAGGATCCAAAACAAGAAAACAAGCAAAAGGGTATGTTTTATTATGTTTGTTTTCTATGAATAAATGGAAAAAATGGTTCCTTTATGAACACATTGTGTTTTTAGTGATGTGTGATTGAGAAAAACAAAGATCCTTTTGAATGTTGTTGTTGTTTTTGGCAGAGAGCCAAAAGAACAATTGAAAGAATCAATGTATTGTATCTTAGGAACCTTAACTTGGTCTCTCTCTGTATGTATAGTGGGTGCAAGGTGTTTTTTTGAAATATAATTATTTTTTATTTTTTAATTAATATAAAATTAAGATTTGGTTGCTAAGGTAAATCACTTAAGTTAGGAGTGCTTTTTTGGCATGTGTGTTTGTTTTGGGGTTTAGTTAAAACAGATTGTGAAAAGTGAAAAAAAAAAAGAGGCCTGAATAATTGATTATTGCATGAGAAAGGGTTATTGTGAATCTTGTGAAGCTTAGTTAGGGGGTAGCTTTAAATTTAATATATAACCCAACTTGGAAATAGCTAGGAAGCTTTTAGGCTGGAATGCTGGATCAAATAAATGATTTTAGGGTATGTCATTTTCATGGATAATAAAAGCCAATTGGACATTTAGTTTAAATGGTAATACTATATTGTTACTAGCTATTCACATTTTAATTTAAGTTTGAATTTGAGATCTCGTAGTAGCAGTGTGTATGAATTTTAAATGATGTTTGTCGCATTTGTAAAGTATTTAGTTCAATCAACTATATCCATTTAAATTTGAATATTTTTACTCGAGTTTGAATTTGATATCTTACCGTGTTTGTCACATTGATAAAATATAGTTTAACTAAAAAAAATTTGATATTATTAAATTTGATATTTTTACTCACATTCAAACCTAAAACCTGGTAATAGTGTGGAGGAATTAATTCAGAGGATCTAGTATTTGTATAAGGTGATGGGTAAGTAGTATGTGAGTTTTGTTTGTGATAACTGTTTGGTCATGAAAATGCAATGTTTCGTTGTTTGTTTATGTATGGTATCCTCAAAGTTTTATTAGAGTGGGTGAGCAATATTAATTAATAGTTGTTAATGATAATAATTTATGGATAACAATCATAGAGTAAAGTTAGAGTAGAGTGTGTGTAAGGACTAATCTCTTTAATATTACTTTATACTTAAGAAAAAAACAACTTTATTGGGTTGGTGGTTAGAATTCTTGAAAATAAAGAGAAAATGATAGAAAGGAAGAAAAAATAATTAAAATGTGGATAAGATTTAGAAAATATCTTATACTAGAAGAAAATAATATTCTTTTTATTCTATTTATAAAAGAAAATTATTTGTTTAAATTATTAAATGATTAATATATTTGATTTGTTATAGAGTTTAAATATATTCTTTTTATTCTATTTATAAAAGAAAATTGTTTGTTTAAATTATTAAATGATTAATATATTTGATTTATTATAGAGTTTAAATATATTCTTTTTATTCTATTTATAAAATAAAATTGTTTTTTAAAATTATTAAATGTTTAATATATTTGATTTATTCTAAAATTTAAATATATTAATTATTCAGTAAATTTAAAAAATAATATATTTTTTATAAATGAGATGAGAGATAATATCTCATTATATAAAATCTATCTCATAAGATATTTTTTGAACTTATAAGTTTATACGATAATAAAAAAATATGTTTAATAATTGTCTTTTTATTATAAGTTTATAATTTATTTTACTAATTTATTTCTTATTTTTTAAACACTATTTTAAATACTATTTTAACTTATAACTTTAGATAAAAAAAACATATAACTAATAGTTTTTTATTTATTTTTATCTTCACTATTTTAACTAAAATCTACTAATACTTTTTATAATTTATTTTAATTAAGTAAAATAATTATATATTAAATATTTTATTTTAATTTATTAATTAATTAAACTATTAATTTTTTAAAAAAATTTCATTAATTTATTAATTATAAATTATTGATCATTAAATATAAATTATAAACTATTTATAATTATCCATCAATTATAAATTATGCGTCGATCACTATTTTTTACTAAATAGAGCATATACTTTAAATATAAAATAATTAGTATAAATATTTTATTTCAATACACGGATTTCATGGTTTCACTGCAACCCATATTCCTCCTGTCTGCAATGAAAAAAATAATTTCGCAAAATTAAAATAGGTGTAATAGTTAATTAAATTTATAAAGAATTATCATGAAAAATAGACATGTGATATGAGACATTGTTACGTGGGATTAATGGGCCCGCAGAGTCTCTTGGCCCAATCATAAAACCTTGAAGTTGAAGTTAGGGTCAGTGGGGCCCAGCCAGTGGCCTGCAGGTTGTAGGGTTCAAATTGATTCATTAAGCAGGCAGTCAGTCCTATGCTGAGGTGTGTCCTACCCATTCAATCATTATCCACTTGTCTAAAATTAATATTTATTTATTCTTTAGTTTTTTATTTGGGGTTAAGTTTATAAATTAGAATGTGTGTTGGATAATTTAGATTTGAGAATATTATCATTTATAGGAATTTGAAATTGAAAGGGAAACGTGAGTTGCAAGTCGGTAGTAGTGTTATAATAACAATGGGGCCAATGTTTGGAATTCTTGACATTATTCATGCACCCATTTCATATCAAGAGATCCATGTTTATGGTTTTGAGTATGTGTTTGAATTGGGAAGAGATTCTCTCCAATGATATTTCTATCCATTGAAATCATAACCACATGAAAATATAATAAAGAAAAAAAAATTATTAATGAAGATTTGAACTACTCCCTCTCTAATGAAATGTTAACAGGAGAGGAGAGAATTTCTTCCTCTTTGAATCTCCATTAATTTGATTTAAATCACTTTGAAAGAGTATGCTAATTCAAATTTTTTAAAAAGGTGTTTTATATTTTAAACATGTGGCTTATAAAAAGTGTTCAAAAAATACTTTCAAAGTAGTTTGGAGTGGAAGAAATTTCTCAATTTGATAACTTAGACTTTTTGGATATTGGATATGTTATAGGTTTATGTACGAGATCAACTAAAAACATAATTAGATGACAAATATGAAGAGGTGTCTTCATTGGCTATATTCTAATATTAAAATCTTACGACCTTAATAATCTAGACACAATTAAGGTAACTATCAATCGAGACATGACATTTGATGAAGAAGGGATGTGGAATTAATCCTAAACCAGAGCTAATATGATTAGGAATAAGAAAATGAGTGTGAAGATCCATCACTTGATGAGGCAATTGCTAAATTTGTAATTCTTTGTGTCAAGCTTGCATGTAAGATTTGACAAAATCGAAGCCGAATGTGTTCGATAGAGTAGTAGTCGAACACACTTTTAAACATTCAAAGTATGTAGGTGTCGAAGGAGTTAACCTCGACAGAGTTAAAAATCAATATTTATTAGTTGAATTAGTTAGAGATTACTTGGTGTGCAAGTAATCTCATCTATAAATAGGGGGTACCCTACTATTTTAAAGTGGTTGAATAAGAAAAAGTCAGTGAGGATAAACGCGAGGAGAAACTCTACAAAATTTGATTCATTTTTTTCTTCTTTCTCCCAAAACCTTAATTTCTCTTTTCTTCCCCAATTCACTTTCACAAATTTCTTCTCTTTCAAATTATTGTGCGGCAAAATTATCTTGCAACCGTGGTGTGGTTGAATCACTCAAATAAAGAATGAGGAACGAGATGAACAATCAATCAGAAAGATTGATTCTCGTTCAATCAAGATTGATTCATATTATATCCAACATTGAGGTTAATTCTAACATTTGGTATCTAAAGCAATGGTTGTGATTCTAGGAAACATAGCGAAATAACTTCTCATCCGAACATGCATTTTCCAGCGAATCTTCCAATCTTGAATGGTAAGAATTATGAGAATTTGTGTAAGCAGCTGGAGATTGTTTTCTTCTATCAAGATCTTTGGGATCTTATGAAGAATAAAGTAACACCAAATGGAGAGAATGCTATGGATGAGCAAAAGGATGCATACAAATATTTGAAGAAAAATTATAAAACTATCTTTATAATCCATCAATACGTTAATCCAGACAATTTTGAGAAAGTTGGTGATGTAGACTCAGCAAAGGAAGCATGAGACATCCTGGAGAAATCGTTTGGGGGCTAAAAATGTGAAAGAGGTAAAGTTACAAATTCAATAAAGAATGTATGAATTGGTGAAACAAATCAAGATATATGGAGAAGTGTTGACATCAAGATTAATAGTTACAAAGATCTTGAGGTTATTGACTCCAAAATTCAATCATGTGGTAGTTAGCCATAGAAGAATCGAAGGATTTATCAAGCAGGACAAAAGAAGGGCTTTAAGGGACGCTTGTGAAGGTGCGAAAAACACAAGAAAATGGGGGTTTGAGTTGGGTTTTTTAAAATAAAAGCTTTTTAACCAACTCAAAAACTTAACACAATCCAAAGATAGAAAAAAGAAAGACACGAGAAATTTTATCCTAGTTCACTTGAAAGTCAAAGCTAATCTAGTCCACCCGCCAAGGTAATTTCGCCTTATACACAAGGACTTAATCCACTATAATCAACTGATTACAAATGCACTAGTAACTGCTCGTGACTAACAAACCACAGTGACAAACTGTCAAAGTCTTCTCAAGGATTCTAACCTAACTGGTATTTTAAGGAAACACAAACATTAAAATTAAAGATTTTATGTTACAAGTTACTTCTACACAAGAAGATTTTACACAAATGAAATACAAACACTTAAAGAAAAGAAAGCACAAAGTTGAGACCTTTTCACGTAGAAACAGTCTTGTAAGAATTGGATTCAATTTCTTCAAGTCTCAAAGTCTTCTTTATATAGCATGAAAAAGAAATCGTTGGAGGGCAAAAAATTCAGTTGTCCACTAACGGACTAGTGATAGGTGTAAAAAATAATACAGTCCTTCGTCCACAACTTCAAATTAATGGAAGGAATATTTTTGT